TTTCACCACCTACTGAGATATAGCGAATGCTTAATAATCATGATATAACAGTGAATTTCTTTGCGATGGACACCTTACGCTCCTCAACACTGAAGAAGGTGAAGGATAACATCGAAGAAGACAAATTGCTTGAAATGGATAAATTTGGGGTACATAATGTCATTGTATACGCAGAAGTAACTTCCAGACAGGCAAATATAAGCGTAAAAGTGGTTGGAACAACGTCTGAAGGTGGTGGTTTCAAAGACCTCCGGAGATTTGAAGAGGCTAGAAAATAGGTTGACAATTGTTCGCACTATACTTGATATAGATAGACCTTGATAAGATCAAGGTTCTACATAGAATGGTTACCGTTAATATCAAGAAAGACTGACCGTAGAACCTCTACATATATGAGTGAATCCCAACAACTTTAACACGCGTGAAAGTGTGATGTTAACTGAGGCACGGCAAGTCCTGATTAATAAATAAAGAATGAGTACGTATCACTAGTCAGTCATACTTAATCTAAATTCCCAGTTGTCTATATGGTGTCTTTTTATGGAGAGACTAACAAATGATTTACAATTGTCCCCTCATTCACATTCACACATATACACCATTGTATACTGCATATACGTGTATACATTTTTCATGAACATGAACTTTAGTCGAACGTGGTCACGGAAATTCTAATGCAAAAAAGTGCTCACTATCTATCTATAGTGTTTAACAAAAAGTAGACTAATAATTGTAATCTAAGATTAAACATTTTGATCCCAGTTCACGCAATTTTGTTTATTACATTTCGATGCCCACATCAGGACTCATATGATGTTTGAACAAGGTTTTTAAAGACAAAAAACGCATCCTTTTCTATACATATATTTGCCTTTGTTATTATAATTTTAATTAATTTCCCTAAAGGAATTCGGACCAGTTTGCCGAGAGGATGAAATTCGGAAATTAATTACTTATTTCTATTTTCCTGAGATTTGTACAAATATATAATTTTTAAATAATTACAATTCGCCCTGAAAGTACACACAAAAATCACTAATTTATAATTGCCTCTGTTACATGCCTATAATTTTGTTTTAATTTTTTGCATATGACCATTAAAACAATTGCGTTTTAGCAGTTATCGCGCATTAATAGTGCCTTTTTAAATTTACAACTCTTTCTGAAGGCTTAAATTTCATTGACTTAGGAGCGCCTTAATTTCGACACTAGTAACTAGTGTGATGCGTCTAGTCCTCTGACCGGTGTAGGCTGAATTCTATCAGTCAGATTGTAATGTGACCACCATTCTAGCTAACTCGCCATCACGGTACACATTAATTTGATGGTATTAGATGGTTGGAGGCCTTCAGCAAGGAGCCCGAATAGCTCAGTGGTAACTTCTCTGACTGCAGCACTGGGTGACGCTGGTTCGAATCTCAGAAGGGACATGAGTTCCTTCAATATACCTTGCTGATGAGTGCCAACTAGCACGAAACCTAGGTCCAAGGCTTCCTGCCGATTGCCTCCAACCATCTAGTGCCTTAATTTGTCAGTGAAACTGTTATCTATCGATGTCATTTGAGGCGAATATATATATTTACGAGTTGATCACGGAATGATATCAGCAAGCGAATCATTGAAAATCAGGAAATACTGGACAGCTTTTTCATCCTAGTTTGCGAATCATCGGCAGTACGCACCCACTGCCATAGATCGAATCCTGGACCTTCCGGTTACAAGGCATCCTCATACTTCACTAGATGGATGTCACACCCATGACATTGGTTGGTGGTCGCAGTGAATCACGAATCGGTAGAAGTTTGAATTCATGGGTTTCCCATTGAGAAGCCGGGCCCTAGTGGCTGAATAGTATATGAGTTCGGTAGTCTTGTAACCGGAATGTCCTGGGTTCGAACTCTGGCAGTGGGTGTGTACTGCTGATAACTCCCAAACTAGAATGAAACAGTTGTGCAGTACTCCCTGGTGGGTTTTCATGATTCTCTAATTGATATCAATCCGTGATCAACTCGTAGAAACAAGTCTAATCCTTATAAACCAACTGTAGAAAATATATGTTTAAAACGTGGGCATGTTGTAGAAAGCGCTTCCATATTAGTTTGTTTATTAGATATATCACACAGTAAAACAGTATTATTCACTGGATGACGTTTCGAACAAAATTTATTGTGGTTCATAATCAGATCACTTGTAATCACACGACTTTGAAAAAAAATAAAAGTGGCTGGCATTCAAACCAACCACAAACTCAATTAGAAACAAGCTTTGTCAGTTGAAGGATCAATCCTGTGGAGCCTTTAAAACAAAACAATTTAGCTAATCTAATACCCTGCCTCCAATGATTGTCAGATCGAATACATAGGTCAAACTAGTAGAACAGGGTCAGTCAATCAGACTAGCCGAACATAAAAACATAGCAGCAAAATCTAGATTAGTTGACCTAAATAAGATGAGAAATCTTGAGAATAGTTCAGCTATAGCATAAAATGCACTTACACACAACCATAAAATAGGATGGGATAGGATGACAGTCTTTAAATCTAATGTCACAGGATAGAGAGAGAGAGAGAGATTGATAACAGAAGCTTTGTTTATCGAATCAACTGCAAATACATGTAGTAGGAATGATTCAACACCTGTCTAGGAGGATATCTGGAGAATTCTACTACCCCTATTACGACAAATAGGAGAAGACAGAGAAAACTGTAAAACTCAAGTTTCGATGTCGTGTGATTACAATTGGTGGTATAATTATGAACAACAAATTTTTTTGAAAACATTGTCATCCAGTAAATAATAATACTGTTTCACTGACTGTGTGATACATCTAATAAACAAACTAATATGGAAGCAACTATAGAAAAGTATATATATATATATATATATATAGTAAAAATGAATTATACGCTGGATGCGCCTCTATACATGATGCAAAATGAAGTCACAGTTTCCCTGTAGGAGTGATTATAGACGTGCACTAATGTAATCCATGTTTTTGAAATGCCTAAAATCCTTCAGTAGAATTTGTATGAGTCCCAGAGTTTTAGGACCCATTTTATGAATAATATTTCATGATAACAATAACCACAAAGCTCAACATTTAAAATGGATGGTGTTCATAATCTTCGCTGAAAGTTTCACTGTAATTTTAACCCTAACCTAACCTTGATCCTAACCCTACACCAAACTAAAGCGTAACTCTAGCCCTAAATCATGGTGAAATTTCGACGAAGATTATATATATATATATATTTGTACGCGGTTGCTGTTAACTGTTTCAACTGTGCTTTCAAATGGGAGAAGTCCTCTTGTCACGGGTCCATCTCTTCTTGTTTTGCCTACTCATGGTGTTGGTGATGATTTACTTTGTGACTAGCTGTTGGGGTGTTTTCCATTTGCATTTTAGTTAAGTGTTGCTGGCCAAATAAAAGTATCAGAGCAAAAGTCAAGATCTTTCGACACTTGGCCTCCAAGAACCAATGAGATGTAGAGAATGTTATAAAATGTTATTCCAAATCAAATCATACCTGCCATTTTGGACTTAGTGAGGGTACATACAGCATTCTTCTCATTCTATAGCCACTTTTTCTATAAATCTATGCTGTTAAGTAGGGTTGCGGTTTTTATGATTACGGTTTAGGGTCTTTGGTTAAAGTTAGGATTAGTGTTTGAGTTAAAAGTAGGTTAGAGAACAGGGTCAGAAATATCAGTGGAACTCAAAGTACCATGACCTACAGTCACCTAGATTAATGTATGTGTAGTGAATGAGAGACATTCTTACATCACATAAGCGACAACTATACAGTGTATTATTATGTTTGCAGTATTTTTTAGTGCATTTTTCAATGATTATGCAACTTTTTTGATCTGAATTCTGATTGGTTGTTCATAGTCCCTGTGGTTTTAACAATGATAGTTTAACTTTTTTGCGTTACTCACAGACTTCTAGGTTTTATTACCGGGTAAATCAATACCCTATCATAATATGAATACCTCGTCCTAAGGTGGCTGATTTTTCTCTTTAGTGGCCAAATTAGGACGGTTTAAATCCGAAAATGTTTTGACCAAATGACATGAGGTAATTTCGGGGGTAAATATGATATATCAAGCACAGTATATTACCTTATAAATATGTATACATATTATATATTGTATTACGCAATATTACAGAAGTCTACAGGTATCTGGAAATCATTCACTCTGATTTCAGAAACTTAGTCACTGGGAAAAATGAAATTGGTGGTCTACTTGAATCATTGGACAACCTAAATTCTCATGATCCATGAACTAATTAAAATCCTTGGTTGGTCATATTAATTTGCAGTAGTTTGCAAATCTTCGCTTGCGTCAGTAGTCCAATGGTAGAATGCTGGTAAGCCATGTTTCATGTGGTCCGGTTCGACTCTTTTCCTACACACTGCCAGACCACACCTAGCCAGTAGGAAGCCTAGTTAAGAAATAGGATTAGACGTGAGGCTAGCAGCGCCACCTCGTTAAAAAATACCATTGGTACTCACACATAACAAGCTTGAATCATTACATTCCTTTCGAAAAGCAAAGAACTGGACTCATATGATGTTTTATAATTTTTTTAACTTATCAGTAAATTTAGTAGTCACGCAATGTCATGAAGTGGCAGAAGTTGAAGTTTATGGGCTGACCACTGCATTGAATCTCAGTGGCCATAGGGTCTACGAGCTTGCCTTGTAAGTGGAACCCCCTGGGCTCGAACCTTTTTGACGGGAGCGCATTGTTGAAGAGCCCCAAACTATGGCGAAACAGCTGTCCAGTGCTCCGTAAATGGTTTTCCAGCTGTTCTCTAACCAACATCAACCAATTATGGAATCCTATGACCAGAAGATTTAGTATTTGTCCTTTCATAACTCCCTCGTCACTGGTCTTTGTCGTGTTGATGAAAGCGATCGATTTGTTTACAAAATCATATTACCAGTCAAATGTCACATTATGTTATACCAATATCCAATCTTCATGAAACTTACCTAAAACAATAGCCAATGTTTTCGTTGCTTTTTTCTCTTTATGTGATAGAACATTCTTATTTCTCGTTGAAGTATATTTTGGACTATTATTATGACATTGTTTCCGTGTAGATTTACCACTGCATGAATCTAAATCCACTGGAGACGTTGGTGATGGATCGATAGTAAGAAAATCTGTTTTCTGATTATCCATTTTTATACTACTGAAATTAGCTCGAGAACTTTTGTTTGAAGTATTTAGAATTTTTTGACTACTGTTGTTGTTAATATTATTATTATACTGCTTGTTTAAATGTTGTGATTTAAAACAATTCGATTTACGCGCTCGATTTAAATTTCGCGCAATTATCTGATTGCCTTGTTTAAATTTATCATTGAATAATGATAAATATTTACAAAATTCAATATGAAAATTAAATTTCTTTTTTTGTGATAAATTTGATTTAATCTGTTTTACTTTAACTGATCTAGTAGGACAAATATTGTTATGATGATTAATATCAGTTTTATAAACATCTCCATTTGGTGTATGATTAGTGTATTGTTGACAGAAATTTTCATTTGGTTGACATCTATACTGAAATACAATCGATTCATTGCGATAATCAATACAATTACATAATTCATTAGACATATATATACAAAACGACTTTGAGCTGATTTCATTTTGACAAAGTTCACAAATAGTAGTATTTTCATCCGTGAATAATAATCCTTCATCAATATCTTCATCATAATCTTCCTCTTCGTCGTCAACATAATCGTCTTCTTCAGTGTCACTATCAATTATTGTTGTTGTGCATAGATAATTCTCAGCGGAATCATTTGCAACCTGTACATCATCTCCTGAACTTTGTCTAATACATTCACTAATCTGTGGCCAAGAATATTCTACATCACTTGATGATATTGAACTGCTGCGAGTATCTGTACAATTTAAACAAGTTTTAATTCTTGGGAGTGTAAATAAATTTATAATATTTGATGATTTAAAAGGAATTTGATGTTGACATGATGATCTATGTAGATTTGAAAGGTTATTATTATTATTAATATTATTATTATAATTTGCACTACATTGAATCATTGAACACGGGGTATTCAGTGTTTGAACTGATAATTGAGAATTGTCTGTTGGCATATGTACAGTAAGATTGGGTAAACTTTGCTCTTCCTCCGGGTGATCTTTTACCTCACCATGTTCTACAATGCATTCTTTACCTACAGATGACCTTGAAGGTGTATTTTGAGTCGACACACTGTCATAATGTTCAAGATGACAACATGTGAAAGTGATTTCGTTGTAATCTTCTATTGCAAATGGTGAACATAATGATGAGGCTGAGGCTGATGATCGACTTGAGCTACATCTTATATATTTTGGGGAGTCAAATGATTTTAAAATTTTTAAATCTATTCTTTCAGGTAGAATAAGCGAATCATTGTATCGATTATCTACACTGCTCAAGGTTGTCGTAGCTGCTAACGTTATTGGGACTGAATTCTGATTGGTTACTTTTAAATAATCAATAGAGGTAGTCTGATTACAAGGTAAAATGTATCGATCTAAATTATAATTTAAATTTGGTGATGGTATATCTAAACGTGGTCCTTCAAAATGGATATCATCAAATAGATTTTCATTTATGCCTTCTTCTTCTTCGTGGTATTTTTCTTCCTCGATGAATTCATGATCTGATTGTGTAAATGAACTTATTATACAATTATAATCATTTGTAATCAAGTGTAAAGGATCTTTTTTGTCTATTCCAGTAGGTGTAATCATAGTTGTTGCCGTTGTTGTTGGTGTTGTTAATGTGGGGTATTTATTCTCCAAAAGAATAATTTCCTGATCTGAATTATTTTTACTGTGAATTTTATCTTTTATTTTTAAATTATTTTGTTCTTTGTTTGAACTTGTAATATCAGATAATTGAATGGTTGAAGAGTCATTGAATTGTTTGTCGAATTGTTCTAATTCTTGAGGTTGTTTTAATGAAGATTGTTGTCTAGGTTGTTGCTGATGTTGTCTAAATTGTGATTTGTTCTGTTGGTGATGTGATGGTGTTGGTGTCGCTTGTTGTGGATGATGTATTGATGTTTGTGTTAAACGTAATGACTTATGTCGTTGTTTAATTAATGCAAATATACGTTGATATACAACAATTAGTATTATAGCTGGTAAATAAAATGAGCCTAATGATGAACATATAATGTAAAGAGCATTAAATGATTGACATATTGTTGGATCATTATATGTATTAATATTTAAACCGCATACTAGTGGAATAGCTATTAAAAAGGATACTATCCATACTAAAGCGATAGAAATTTGAACTCTACGCATATTATTATGCTTTGCATAAACAATTGGTTTTGTAACAGCTAAATACCTGAATGAGAAAGACAAGAGAAAGAGCAATAACAAACAGTGGATGAATAATCTTTAAGAGTATAAATAGAAATTGTCAAAAAAAATAAAATAAAATAAATAAATGTTGGTGAGATGCTCAATGGCGACTGGCCTTATTCAGGTAGGTAGCTACCTGAGATTCTAGTGAGAAGTCGTGACCAGTAGGGTGCAGCAGGTCGAGTGTGACGACAAATAATCGCCGAAGATATTGGCTAGTGATTGCGCTATGTCGTGAATTAGCAGAAGTTAGAATTCATGGAATGGCCATTGGTTCGGGTCCCAGGGGCTTAATGGTCTACGAGCTCACTTTGTAACCAGAAGTTCCTGAGTTTGAAGCATGACGGTGGGTGCGTACTGATGAAGAGTCCGGAACTAGGTCGAAAGAGCTGTCTAGTACTCTTAGCTGGTTATCCAGTGATTCTGTAACCGATGCCAGGTCATGATGAAATCTTGTAACCAATCAAACCCCTACAAACCAACCCTTAAATAAATGTCAATCCTTCTACAGACAAGGCAGAAGTAAGTATTGTAAATACTTCTTTTGTAAACAAAGGTCTGACTGGCTTGAATTCATGAACGGCCAAGGCCTTCGCTGTCTTTAGAAGTGTTTAACGAAGGAAACGCAGAAATTAGCATGGATTCGATAGATGATCTTAAAATCATGGTCACGGTTGGCAGAGTGACAAGAATCGATCAGGTGTTGTTATAGTATAGAGTTTCGTACACTCTTCTTTTACCCCTTATAAAACCATGCTGCCGGAATATGTTCTCGTATCCGTGTGGAAAACTGTGTTCTCTGACTGTGGCCGGTGTACGTTGCTCTACAAAAGCAGGCGAACTGACAGATAAACATGGAGGCGGTTAAACTAGGGGAGCTTATCTTTTACAGAGACATGGAGAACAACTTGTGTCTGGTGAACATCATTTGTAATTTTTCTGCAAAGAACGTCTTACCGCCTGATGTAGAGAGACGGTATTTGAACGTATCTGATGCCTGATCACATCTGAACTCGAAGTTCATGAATAAGGTTTTCTTTGGAACTGAGTTGTTGACCAATTTTGTGTGCTTATCTTTTGTATTACTGTCAATAAATCTGTTCCAATAACCTATGTGAATCTATGTGTTTTTTGGAATTAAGATCAACATTGTGCCTAGTAATTGTCAGTTCGAGCGTCTTCGGAGATAAAAGGAACTTAGAAATAAGTTTCTTGACAACTCCTCAACAGCATGCATTGATTATCATTATTTTCAAGTGTCACGCCAAGTATTAGAATTCATTGGCTAATTGGTCCCAAGTTCGATTCCTGGTGGATGGAGTTATGCTTGCCTACTACTCAAAAGTCCCAAACAAGGGCACACATACAGTACTCGTTTCTCAAAATGAGGTCAGTTCAAATTTTTATTATTATTACTATGATTCGATAAACTATACTACTTATAATAGTAGCATATATTTATCTAAAAAGACAATAAATCATTCAAACAAAAAAAATAAACAAATTAAAAGATTTTATCATACGTCATCATTAACATCATCATCACCATTATTATTATTACTAATTACTATTATTACTTGAAGATTGAAACTGATTAAATTTGTTTAAATGAATCGTTCAGCATGTGTTGTTGTTCAATAGGTTCAATGATTAATATGTACAATTTATATCTATCTATACAAAAGTGTATGCGTATATCATCTTAGAAAAAAGAAAGAAAAGAGAAGAAAAGACAAAAAGAAGAATAGTAGAAATCTTCATTTTTTAATTTTGTATAAAACTTTCTTTTCATCCTTCTTTTTTTCCATCTACACGGATAGGAGTAGTTTTTAGATTCATTACTTTTATGTCTGTCTAACATTTGTGATAGTTTGAATTAATTGTAGTTGTGATAGTGTGATGACTACAGCGCTGTAACCAAATTAAATGAAGGAAGGAGGGAGGGATAGAGTTAGAGAGGGAAAGTGAGAGAATGAGAGGGGTTGAAGGACAATCCCTACAAACCAACATTTGAATTCCAATGAGATGCTCACTGGAGACTGGCCCTATTCAGGTGGGTAGTTACCTCGGTTCCAGTGGGAATTCGTGACCGGTAGGATGCAGCGGGTCAGGTGTGAGGACAAATACTCGCCGAAGATATTGACTAGCGGTTGCGCTATGTCGTGAATTGGCAGAGGTTAGAATTCAAGGCCCATTGGATCAGGTCCCAGTGGCTCAATGGCCTACGAGATCACCTTGTAACCAGAAGGTACTGGATTCGAACCACATTGGGGTGAGTGCGTATTGCTGAAGAGTCCGAAAACAGCAGCTGTCCAGTACTCTTAGTTGGTTTTCCAATGGTTCTCTAACTAATGTCAGCTCATGATGAAATCCTGTAACCAATCAACCAAGTCCCTACAAACCAACACTTGAATATTATTACTATTATTCGACAAACTATGCTACTTATAATAGTAGTATATGTTTATCTAAAAAGACAATAAATCCTCCGAAAAATAAAAAATAAACAAATTCAAAGACTTTATCATACGTCATCATCATCATCATTATCATTACTGTTTAAAAACTGAAACCGATTAAATTTGTTTAAATGCATCGTTCAATATGTGTTGTTGTTCAATAGGTTCAATGATTAATGTACAATCTATATCTATCTGTACAAAAGTATATGCGTATATCATCTTAGAGAAACAGAAACTTTCTTTTCATCTACACGGATAGGAGTAGTATTCAGATTCATTACTTTTATGTTTGTCTAACATTTGTTTTTGTATGAATTATTTGTAGATATGATAGTGTGATGACTACAGCGCTATAACCAAATTAAATGAAGGAAGGAGGGAGGGATAGAGCTAGATAGGGAAAGTGAGAGAATGAGAGGGATTGGAAGACGAGGCGTCAGGAAGAGAGAGAGATGTGAACAGAGTACTGCTCTACTTTAAAAAGAAACACGAGAATATTAGTTTTAATCGTGATAGTTCACATAAATCTTGTGCATCTCTATACTCCCAAGTTTGTAAGTATGACAAGAATGAAAGCACCGATTTGAACAAGATTTAATTCAAATAGGTTTAATACGACAGACAAGATAATTTTAATATTTTATACATCTACTTTATTATTTATTTGTTATGTTGATGTTTCTATATTGTTTTTATGAGGGAAAAAGTGGTATATTCTTTGTTCCAGCTCATTTGTGAAGATCAAAGAGAGTTGGTTACGGCAAAAAGTGTGTGTGTGTTGTAAATCTACTGGCTGGTAATCGGTAAAAATCAACAACAAAAGAAGAACCAGAGACAAGAAAGAAGGTAGGAAGGGAGAAGAACAGTTGTGCTTGTCACAGATAACGCTATAGTTTACGAGTTGATCACGGATTGATATCAGTTAGAGAACCATTGAAAACCAGACACAGGATGTATTGGACAGCTGCTGTTTCATCAGCCTAGTTTGAGAATCATCGGCAGTACGCACCCACTTTTACAAACCAAAACTATAGAAAATGAATCTGATGCTCGCTAGTGACTACTGGCTACAGGTTGGAGCTTCTTGAGTTCAAGTGAGAAGTCGTTTCCAGCGGGGTTCAATTACATGTCACGTGCGTGTGTGGATGGATGTCCCACCAACGACAATGGTTGGGGTGGCGCTTAATCACGAATTGGTAGAAGTTAGAATTCATGGGCTGGCCATTGAATTGGGTCACTCCCAGTGGTTGAATAGTATACGAGCTTACCGGCCTTGTAATCGGAAGATCCTGGGTTGGAACCCTGACGTGAGTGTGTACTGCCGATGATTCCCAAACTAGGCTGATGAAACAGCAGCTGTCCAGCACATCCTGTGTCTGGTTTTCAATGGTTCTCTAACTGATGTCAATCCGTGATCAACTCGTAAAGACTAAACATTGTAGGCGAAATGATGATGAATACCTACACTTTAAAATAATTAGAGGCAATCGTTAGGAAGCTGTGGAATATGGTTAAGACACGTGGACGATACTTTTGTAGTATTGAAACGATATCTACACAATCCATTTCTGGAGAAAATAAACTGTGTATCTCCCAGAACCAAGTTCACTTCAGAAGCAGAATCAGATGTCGGTGAACTACCATTTCTAGACTGCCTAGTTAAGAGAGGGGTAAACGGACATTTTAGTATATCCATATTCAGGAAGAAAACCCACTCTAATAAATATTTAGACTTCAAGTCATCACACCCCATCAGGAAAAGATTTCAGTTGTTTCAAGTCTTCTTAGACAAGCACACTCCCTGATAATTGGTGAGAAAGAAAAAGAAGAAGAAATGCCAAACATTACTGAAACTCTCCTCAAACAAAACAACTACCTAAAGAACTTTATCAACAAAATCAACACAGACATTAAGTATGGCTGAAAACGCATTCCGAAAACATGGACATCAACAGTCGTCATTCCATATAGAGCAGAGACGACAGACAATATCAGAAGAGTACTCAATCAGCTCGACATTAGAGTTTTCTTCAAAACATCAGACACACACTGAAAAGCAACCTTGTCCATATAAAAGACAAAATCCCGAAAGATTCTCCATCTAATTTTGTGTCGTTAAAATAAAGTGCTTGGAATGTGATGAGATATACATTGAACAAGCATAATACGAGAGAAATCAAAATCACTAGAAATGGAAACCGTAGAGCATCCAAATTGCCTGAATAGGAATGATGGATGACTAAAACAGAATCTGACCTGGTTACAACACCTCCTTCCCCTATGAAGTGACAAAATCAACACAAATGTAATAAGCAAGTCCACTATGTAAACACACACTACTTTTATAATTTCACACACTGATCGAATCCAACAATCTACACTTGGTTTTGTTATCTTTACCAATTCCCCAACTTGACAACCAAAAATGACCCCAGACTAACGAACGATGATCAAGTTAGTCAACTTTGTTTTGATGTCATGATAGATGTACTATTACCTTTGTTATTTGTTTTAGTGATCT